AATGGTGGCCGAAGCATGAAGGGGCATACGAATGTTTAGCATATCTGGCACGTAAATACCTTGCGACACCGGCTACAAAAGTCCCATGCGAACGCCTGTTCTCACTTTCAGGTGACATTGTAAATAAGAAGCAGGCAGCGTTATCTCCTGCAAATGTAAACGAACGTGTTCATCTGAGCGATTGGCTGAACGAGAAGTAGGACTGAGTGGACTTGTAGGCGCTAAAGTTTTACATTGTTTTGTTTTTGAGAGCAGTTATGGAACCAAAAAAAAATTACATTTATAAGTTGCACTTTCACGATAAAGAGATGGCACTTCAGTACTTGGAGGTGAGTTGAAAAATACAATTTCTTGTATCATTTTTACAGAGCAAATATTTGCAATAAAAATAACTTAAAGTGAGCCCTGTACACTTTGAATTCTGTGTTGTAATTTAAATCAATATATTTGAAAATGTAGAAGAAAGATTAAAAAAAAGTAATAAAATTTCAATTGGTATTCTATTAACAGTGCGATTAAAATGGTGATTAATCACAATTTTTTTCATCGCAATTAATTTTGAGTTAATCGTGTGAGTTGACTGATTAATCGACAGCTCTAATAGATACATTCAGGAGTGGATGGATAGATGGGTATCTATGGGGTTGGATGGGTGGGTATGTAAAGGAAAGGATGGACAGACAGATGGAGGGATATACACAAGGCTGGGTGGGCATGTCCAGGGAGGGAGGGATGGACAGACACAGGAATGGATGGGTACCTTCAGGGCAGGGGGGATGGATATCTATGGGGATGTCTGTTAGATTAAAGAGACAGACTGTAATTACTAAGGGCCTGTCAAAATATGTTCTCATAACAAGTTGGACTTTATCTAGCGGGGCTGTGAGCTCCTCAGGGCAGGGACTGGCCCCAATGGGGGCCCTGCAGTGCCCAGCCTGAAAGCAGCCCCGATCTTGGCTGGGGTCTGTGCGGCACCTGCGAGCGCCCCCCCCCCCCACCTCCCCAAGAACCAAGCTAAACCAAAAAAGTAGAAAACAAAACCCAAAACGATATAAAAAATGAATATTTTTTCCGGCAACATAAAGGAAAAAAACATAAAAATTTAAAATAAAATAATAAAAAACCCAACAATTTTATTTTGCA